CCCCCCCCCCCCCCAAAACCCAAACAAATGCAGCCATTGCGCCTTCAACCTCTACACACAACTCGGTACACCGGCTCAGTCACATCTAGATATCGCACCACTATGATAGGAAGGAGACAGTTGATCCGACTTACAACCAAACAGCTCGCAGATGGAAACAATCACATTCATATCTGATCAAAATGAAACACAAAATGATAGGCCCCTATTACCAGCCAGCTGTTTAGATGCACTAAGCCCAACATTATGAATTTTTCAAAAAATTGCAGTTTCTTGATCTTTGGTATTGGTTGCACGAGCTAAGGAATTATTTTGTCAAAATTCAAATTCAAAATGTTTAAAAAGAGAAAGGAAAGATACATAGAGTGGGTACAATTGTTGAAAGAATGTTTCTTTTTTGGTTTTGGTACGAGTTTTACGGCACTTACAACACAAAAGGTCATACAAGTGTCGAAGATTAGAGAGGTGTTACAAGAGAGTAACATACACAAAAAAGGAGGAAGGAGGAGGTAAGATGATGACAATAGATGTTTGATAGGAAAGAAGGAGCAAACCATACCAGAGCACACGTCAACCACCCACATTGAAAGAATTAGTTTCCCCACTCTCCAGAAAAATTTTGCTTTTTGGGCCTAAGACATTTTAACAGCTTGCCAATGATATGAAGAAAACCTTAGAGACCAGCGGATGTCACAAAGCGACGCAAGGACCAAGACAACCGACACCTAGACTCAACCCCTCAACCACAGAAATAAAGAAAAGTATGGAAAAATAATTCCACCACTCTAATAACAATTTTTTTCAAAAGCAAACCAAAAGCCATCAAATTGATTTCTTACTACGAAAAATCAGCAGCAACACTGTAGTATAACACACACACACACAGACACACACACACACACACACACAGACACACTTGTTCAGCTCAGAAATAATGTACATACAAAAAAATGGTTCATTCACATTACTGCCAGAGAATCAACAAACTCTCAAAGTAACAATGTGACAAGTCGATCAAGGGATAATATCCATTTTCTGTGGGCTGGCCATAATAACTTAACAATTATTAACAAGGAAAGTGTGGAGAATATACAGTTTACAAAAACTACGTTGTCAACTGGCTCGTCAAAACTGTGCTCTGTCGAGACATAATCCTGTGGCAGGAAAATACACACACTTCAGGCTTACAACTACAGCCACAACAAGCATTATCTCTTCCAGACCACTGCATTCTCACAAGCCACTACACTGTGGTTTTGACAGGAAATACTCCAGTGGCAGGCAAATACACATACTTCAGGCTTACAACTTAATCCACAAAACCTTTACATGTTCACAAGTACTCGTTAAGTCCATTTGTGACTGAGCTGTGTACAAGGAACGTTGCCTCCTGAGGCTCTTCCTTTTTTTAGTTTGGAGACCATAAAAAACCTCAAAGCTAATAATGATAATAATAATAATAATAATAATAATAATAATAATAGTAATAATGATTTTTTAAAAACCAACATTAGATTGCTTTTACAAAGTAGACATCCCTACTTGAAAGTAGTTTCTGTGCGCTTTTCTGTTTATTATTACCCCAACAGGATTTGGTGGAAGACTCTGCAAAATGTCATTTTGAAAAGTGACGTATGACACAGTCTCACACTGAGCAGG